CGCGCCTCAGGAGCTCCTCGGCGGCAGGCCCCAGCCTCCAGACCGAGCGGCCCTTGATGGCGAGTCAGCGCCCGCGCCGCAGCTCCATGCCCAAGAAGCCGCAGGCGTCGGCGGCGCGCTCGGGCGCGTGCACCTGCAGGCCCGCGGCCTCCAGCGCAGCGGTGATGCGGTCGAGCGATTTGTCGGCCGCCGCCTCGTCGCTGCTGACGGCCAAATGTCGACGTACCCCGCGACCGCGGCCTGACCGTTTGGCTCGACCACGACGCCAGGGAGGCCGCCCTCGAAGACGCAGCGCCCGGGCACGCCGGCCCGCGAGACCGCGGTCCGCAGCGCCAGCTGGCAGAAGTGCAGCGCCCGCGAGAAGTCCACTGGCAAGGCGACGAGGGATCCCTGAAGCCACCCAGCGCTGGGGGGCCCTGAGATGCCGCGCGCCTCGAGGTGGCGCCTGTCGATGGGCGGCAGCCTGAAATAGCGGAAGAGGCCTTCGTGCATTCGCAGCCTGTATAGAAGGCGTTGTCAATGTCGCCCGCGGCCGCGACAACCTGCCCTCCTGGCGCCTCCAGGTTGGCGAGCGCGGTAGCAAGTGGGTATGCGAAATAAGCGTTGGCGGTGTGCGTGTCAAAAATCAATATCAAACAACTGCTCTTCTTGACCACGCAGAAGACACCAATCGGCTTGATGCCGGGGCATTCTGCCTGGAAGCAAGTCATCTTGCGCTTCGACATCCCAGCGATGAAGTCGGCGCAAGCAGCTGGCGAAAATGCTATGTGAGGGCCAACGTAGGGTCCACGAGGGCAGACCTGGTGTAAGAGGGCGCCCGCCTCCCCGCGCACGCAGCATGCTCGAGCTCCAGCGTCAGGGCCAGCAACGACACTCGTGAGCGGCGCAGCGTCGTCGCCGACGTCGGGCCACGAGATCAGGCCCCGCGAGCAGGGTCGGCGGGGCCACCCCGAAGAGCACGTAAAAGGAGGAGCCCCAGAGAAGGCTGGCAAGAGCTCCTTCAGGGAAGCCATCGCCGGTGCCCGACGGCTCGAGACAGGCGAAAGCGGACTGAGCGCGCAACTGGGGCGCCCGCTAGCCTTCAGAAGCTCCGGGGACCGACGGCTGAGCCCCTGGCGCGCACGCAGCGCTCATGACGTCGATGGCGTCGCTGGCCCAGTCATGTCAGCGAAGGTCCCCGGAGGCCTGGCGGCTGCCGCGGTAGCTGCGCCAAAAATTGGAACCCTGGCGCTGGTCATCCAGATGCGGCATGGAGAACAAGCCCCGCTGGTGATTCCCAGAACGCGAGCAGCGCGAGGGCGAGAGTGGCCCACTTGCTGGCACACGGACGGCCAGCGGGCCCGATGGCGGGAGTGGTCGCTCATCTCGACTCCCCGCTCCGAGGTCAATTGTCATCCTTGCCAGAGCCCTTGTCGCCCTTGGTCCCCTTCTTGTTCTTGCGGGCCAAGTCGCGCTCCTCTGGCTTTGCGCTGCTCCTTCCTGTGGGCGTTCACCTTCATGTGCTCGTGCTTGATGTCGTCCTGGGGCGCGGGCGAGACGCGCGCGCCCCCGCGCAGCTGGTCCGTTCCGAGCAGCGCGCGGGCGCCCGCGTTGCCCGAGTCGACCGCCGGCGCAACGCGGCCCTTGCAGCGCCCCTCCTGGAGCTGGGCCGCCCTGGCCAGCATCTCGCGATGAGCTGGTCGTGCACCGCCATCCACTCCAGCGCGCGGCAGGCCCTCTCGTGCTCGTCGGCGCCAGGCCCATGGCCCTGCAGCCGCGTCGCCGAGAGCAGCCGCGAGTGCCTGCCAGTGGGCGCCGCCGCGGGCCTCCATGAACTTGAAAGCCCACGGCGCCGTCCGCGGCACCCGCGCTGGCCAATCGGCGAAGGCCCCCTCCGACATGTCCATCGCCACCTTACGGAAGTCGGCGCGGCGCTGGCCCTGGAGGTCGCGCGTCGCGGGCTGGATCCGAGCGCCCACGGGGGCCGCCGCCGCAGCCGCCAGGCCGCCGGGCAACCCGGCGGCGGCTGCCGGGGCGGGCGCTGCGACCAGCAGCGGAGCAAGCAAGGGCCAGCGGAACGGCCGCGCCAGCTGGAGGGGCAACGGGGCCCGCGCGCGCCGCTGCTCGGCCCGCGACGCCGCTGGCCCCTCCAGGCGCAAGGGCACCTGCTGCTGGGGCTGCAAGGGTCGCCACCAGCATGCCGACTGGGGCTGCCGCTGGAGCCGCCGCGCCAGTCGCCGCGGCTGGGGCCGGAGCGCCTGGGGCCGGGGCGCCTTGCCGCGGGCGGGCGAGTGGGCGCCGCCGCGGCCCCGCCCCCAGGGCCAGCGCCGCGCCCATGCGAGCCGCCGCCGCCGCCGCCAACGCCTCCGTGACCCGAGCCGGCGAAGGGGCGCCGCGGAAGCCGCGGGCGCGGCTGCCGGCCGCCGCCAGAGGACGCGCGCCCGCGCGGCCCCCCGCGCAGGACCGCGCGTCCGCAGCAGCAGTCGTTGCCCGGCGCGAGGGCGCACGCCGCGCGGGGGCCGTCGGGCGCGAGGGCCACCAGCCCTCCGCGCAGCGCGCTCGCGAAGAAGCCCGCGTGCTCCGCGAGATGGCATCCGCCCTCCTGCAAGCCCAGCGCCACGATCGGGTGCTGCGCTGGCGCCGCTGCCATCTCAGCGCGTCAGCTGTGACATGGCAGCGCGCGGGGCCGCCGCCCGGGCAGCCGCCGCCTCCTCCTGCGAGGAGGGCGCGCCGAGGGGGGCCGCGGCGGGCCCGGCAGCGGTCGGCGCCGCGGCCTGCCGCGCGGCTGCCCCGGGGCCTCGGCGCCGCGCGCGGGCCCAGCCGCGGGCGCCGATGCCGGCGAGGCTGGCCAGCCAGGAGAGGCTGGCCCCTGGGGGCCCGGGCGAGCGGGCCTCGATCGGTGAAGCCGCCGCCCGGGCAGACCAGCCGCAGCTCGCGGGAGCGCGCGCAAACCGGGCAGGGGGGCGGCGATGGGCGCGCCGGGCACTGCGCCCCCCAGGCCGCGCCCCAGGCCGCCGCGCCCGCGGCGAACCCCCGCGCGGCCTCGCGCGGCGCGAGGCCCGCCGGGCCCATTCGCGGCCCCACCGCCCACGTGGAAGCCCCAGGGGCCTCGGGGCTCGAGCAGCGCGGCCGCGCAAGGCGCAGCGCGGCCGCCTGCGCGCCCCCCATCTTCGCTTCACGATGTTGAATATACCACGTGCATGTGTGCGTGATCATGCATTTCCTCACATATATATATATATCTGTATGTATGCGTTCCGTAAGAATAAATATATGTATATATAATATATTATATATATATATGTATCTATATACATATATATATATATATTATAAATATATATATAATAGCGATGCCCTTCCTCTGCTGAAGAAGCTCCTCTTAAACCCAAGGCCGATGCACTTTTCCGGGCTCGCCACTGCCTCTGCAAACATCTGACAGCTCGAGGGCGGCCTCAGTAGGGGCCAGCCTCGACTAGCCAAGGGTGGGCGGGCACGGGAGAGCTTGAAGCCAGAGCCCCCGCGCGTCGAGGAATCACTGCAATCAGCGATGCCCTTCCTCTGCTGAAAAAGCTCCTCTTAAACCCAAGGCCGATGCACTTTTCCGGGCTCACCACTGCCTCTGCAAACATCTGACAGCTCGAGGGCGGCCTCAGTTGGGGCCGGCCTCGACTAGCCAAAACCGCTCATGGTGGAAGAAGGGGCGGAGGAGGGAGGAGCGAAGCGGGCACCGAAGAGCTCTGTTGGCAGCGGCGGCGGCACACGAGGACGGTGACCGGAAGGGCGGGGGTCGACGTCGCTCGGCCTCGGCAAACGACTCGAAGACAGAAGCTGCCAGGTGGCCTCGAAAAGGAGGTCGCCGGCAGCCTCGGCGAATAGCCGGACCTTGCTACGGAGGGGGCTCGGGAGGTCCGCGAGGAGCGTACTAGCCCCGACCTCCTGGATGTAAATCTCCAACATCCTACTGGAGAGCCACCTGCCCCTGTAGCGAACCCAGTCTGGCGAATCTGTGAGCCTATACCAACATGTGGCCCCTCCCGGACGGAGGGGCGCGGGGGTGATGACAACGTTGTCTGAATGTTTAATTCCAAAAAAATCAATGAGGACATCCAGACATGATCTGAAAGCACGGGCACCACCATGCATGAGAGGGACGCGAGGGGAGGACCGAAGAGAGAGGGCCTCGAAGAAACGCACAACTTGCGGGACATCTATCCTGATGTGCTCGCGGCGTGCGCCCAGGCGTTTCGTTTTGGGCGCGCCCACGTGCACATGCATCGATTGCAGACGTTCCAACGTCCTCCAGGGAACCACGAGGTCCCCGAACCTCGGCCTCAGGAACTCGAAGGGCCTCATCATCCCGAAGAAGCCGAGGAGCAGGCAGCCGGCGACGTCGCGCCAGCCCCACGCCAGCGCCAAGCTCACAGAGGCGAGCAGCAGCGCCTCCGGCATCGCCTGGTGGTTCGAGCCCGGCGTTAGGTGCTTCCACGTGAAGGAGACGTCCCACGCAGCGTCGAGCCGGTGTCGGAGGGCACGATTTGCGTCCACCACAGCATAAATCGTCTCGTCGTAGTCGTGGCGGCTCCGCATCGTGTCGTACAGGAACTGGCCGTGCTTAGCCAGGTAGCGAGCCACCGTCGCCGGGTCCATCAGGATGAACAGGTCCCAGCTGGGCCCGCCGCAGCCCGCCAGCCAGTGCTGGAGCTGCGAGACGAGGGCAGCACGGCGCGCCTGGACCACTGGCGCCAGGCCGCGCGTGGCCGCCAAGTCCACCTCAGCGGGGCGGGCGGTCGGCGGGCGCGGCGCGGCAGCAGGGCCCCGCAGCAGCAGCGGCACCAGGAGCCCGAAGAGGCGGCCCAGCGGCCACGCCGGCCAGGCCGCAGCGGCGCAGGAGGCCGGTGCCAGGGTTCCACGAGCCCGACCCTGATGGAGGCTGGCCGTGCCCGGGAGGAGCCGGGCCGTCACTTGACCAGGGGATGAAACCCTGCTCACCTCCATAGGGGGCCTCCCCGGCCAGCCGCCTCCGCCGCGCGGGCCCTCGCCCGGAAGCCCAGCGCAGGGTCGCGCACCCGCGGTCGAGGGGCGAGCCGCAGGAGCCCGCGCCACCAGAGGCACGCCACCAGCCAAGCCCACCGCGACTGCTGCCGGCGCTGCAGCGGGAGCGCAGCCCAAGCGTGGAAGGCTGAGGCGCCCCCGGCCTCGAGGCCGGCCAGCCAGCACGGAGCGGGAGGCGGAGCCTCGGCCCCGCGGGCCAGAGCGCTCGCCGGGTCGCGGAGCGTGCGCGACGGGGCGTCGGCTGGCTGCAGGCGCGTCGGCGCGAAGTGGCACCCGACGTACGAACCCGTGGCCAGTTGCAACGGGGCCCTCCTTCTCAAGAGCTTGTTGATCGCAGTCGACGAGGAGCGGCCCTTGCTGATGGCCCCGATCGAGACGCGGGAGTCCAGGAGGAGGTTGTGCTTGCAATCAGGGAACCGTAGGCCCTGCTCGTCCACCGCGTCGCAAGCTGCGTCGATCTCCAGCAGGTTGATGTGGAGGGGCTTGCGGAAAAGGCGGTGGCAGTGCAGCTGCCAGGGAGCGAAGCTGACGTAGTCGTTCAGCCAGAGGGCCTCGAACGCTCCAGCGGGCGCCGAACTCTCCGCCGGGGGCGGCGGGGTCGGCCCGCCCAGGTTGTCGGCGATCAGCTTGGACAGCTCGTCGCAGAAGCCGTGCGGGTAGAGCGCGGCCTTGGGAGTCAGGCCGCCCTCCAAGACGGTGTGCTTGTGCCCTCCGCGACAGCGCCTCGCCATAGGCGCCAGCCAGGAGCCCCGCGCGACCAGGAGGCTAGCGTCCTTCTTCCAGGGCGCGCCGAACTGGCACATCGAGAGGTCGAAGCGGTCCACGGCCTTGTGCGTCAGCAGGAACTCGACGATGTGCGTGCACCAGGAGTAGGCCGTCAGGGGGTGCTCGTGCAAACCGGTCCCGTGGCCAGAGATCAGGTGGGCGAACAGCGCCAGCATGCCCACCCTGAAAAGGACGTCCCCCAGATGCGCCGGGGTCGAGGATGGGTCGAATCCCCAGGGCCGCATCCTGGACCTGAGCCTCGGGTGCCTCGCGATCGAGAAGCTGGTGCATGGAACCTGTGATATGGTCATCTTGACGCGCCTCTGCCAGATAAGCCATACTATCCACTCCGCCAGGCGCGAGTCGACCAGGTCCCAATACTTGTGGCACTTGATGTCTATCCTCGGGCCTGTGCGCAGGCCCCGGCCCGAGAGGTAGCCCATGAGGCGGGCCTCCTCCCCGCAGCAGAGCTCCAGCACGTCGAAGTACTCGATGAGCGAGGCCGTCGGGTCGACGACGCCAGGGGGAGGTGCGGCATCCTCCTCCAGGTCCTGCAGGACGGCGCCGTCCTCGGGGTTGGCCAGGGCAGCCCAGCCTGAGGGGTACAGCCACGTGCGAGCGCCTCGCTGCTCGCGCTGGCGCCAGAAAACTCTGGCGGCGGGCGCTGAGGCCGGCGTCTTGACGGACGCTCCGGCCAAGTGCGAGGCGTCCGAGGCCAGAACGCGCGGGCCCCAGCCCGCGGAGAGGTCGGTGGCCATCAGCGGGAGGAGGACCGCGAACAGGGCGCACTCGTTGCAGGCCGCGCTGCTCAGGTCGAACACCTCGTGCGGGTTGCGGTCGACGTCGACCTCCTAGTAGCAGTGGTGGAGAAGCAACAGGGTCGGCCGCCGGAACAGCGCGGCAAAGAGCCCCATGCCAAGGAATCTCTGCAGTCCCAGCGTAGTGGAGCGTCGGCCCTGGGCCATGGACAGGCCCATCCAGGCCAGTGCCAGCCTGCGGGTGCGGGAGGCGCCGACGAGCCGGTCATGGCCCAGGAGCTCTGCCCCGATGACCGTCGCCTCCGCCGCGTCCTTCACCTCCTTGCCAGCGCTGACCCTGAAGCCAGCCTTCGCATAACCCTCGCGCGCGCGGGCGAAGGACTCCTCGATTGCTCGCCGAGCTTCCCGCGAGCCCGGAGCGTCGACAGCCAGGCCGAAGTGGTCGTCCAGCACGACGCCCTCCCAGGCAGACCCCTCGGGGGCAAGGTGGCGGTTCAGCACCCGCCGCTCTGGGGGGGAGCTGCCGGCTTGGGCGAGCAGTCGCATGCGGGACTCGCACGCCCAGTCGGGCGCGTTCAGGCCCCCCATGATCAGGCCGCCGTGGCAGGGAACCACTTTATCGGGGAGCTCGCGGCCCTCACGACGGCAGCGCCTCCGAAGCCGGCCCAGCGCTGCGAAGCCCTCGTAGAGCCTCGTCGGGAGGGGGGGCGCCACGTCGTTGGTGCAAGCCATGTCGTAGGCGCAGTCAAAGGCGGGGCAGAAGTCCTGGAGGTCGTCCGCCCAGACGCGAAGGACGGAACCAGCAGGCACCTCCAGGTGCGCTCGGGGTCAGCCTGGAGAAGCCACCCAGTGGCAACTCAGACGAGTTGCGAGCGATGCGATTGAAGACGACCCTCTGCGTGCTGGCGTCCTTGAACACGGGAAACAAAAAAGAAAGAAAAAAAAAAAGCAAAAAAACAAAAAAAAAAAAGAAAAACAAAAAGAAAAAAAAAAAGAAAAAAAAAAATAAAAAAAAAAAAAAGAAGAAAAAAAAAAAACAAAAAAAAGAAAAAAAAAAAAAAAAAAAAAAACGAAAAAACAAACAAAAACAAAAAAAAAAAAACAAAACAAAAAACAAAAAAAAAAAGAAAAAAAAAAAAAAAAACAAAAAAAAAAAAAAAAAAAAAAAAAAAAGAAAAAAAAAAAACAAAAAAAAAAACATAAAAAAAAAAAAAAAAAAAAAAAAAAACAAAAAAAAAAAAAAAAGAAAAAAAAAAAAAAAGAAATAAAAAACAAAAAAAAAAAAAAAAAAAAAAACAAAAAAAAAAAGGTGCCAAGTGCCGCAATCGCCGGCCTGCGGGGAGTCGGCCGCGTCGACCAGCTCCAATCGCCCCACGTCGTCCCATTGCTTCAGGTACTCGAGGAGGTCGCCAGGCTTGCCGGCTTGCCCGCCTGGCGGGCCGGCCTCGCAGGAGCGGGCCGGGCCGGGGGCCCGACCGCGCGCGCCAGAGGGCCGGCGCCCGGCCCATCCCGCGCCAGCAGCCGCGGCTCCAAGAACGTGGCGGCGGCAAACGGGGCCAGGAACGCCAGGGGGTCAAAATGGCACCCGGCCTTGGCGAAGGGGGCCTTGCTCGGGTCAACGGTCGTCACCTCGCAGTCAGGAGAGGGCGCCGCAGCGCCCACGGGGAGATGCATCGCATTCAGGAGATAGTCGAGCAGAGCGTCGGCCTTCTCCACGCGGCCACCTTGCCATTGCAGGGGCCGGCACATCGGTCGCACAAGCCTACTCAGCCTGGACACCATCTCGGACTGAGACGAACTGAGAGGCCTCCCAGCGCGGGCGCGCGGCGGGCGGCTCCGCGACTCGCCCAGGTGCAGGTGGGAGAGCGCGAGGACGACGGCGTTGACCTACATGTGCTCGACGTGAGTGCGGAGCCATCGCCTGCGAGCGCGCACGCCCCGCGGGGGGGCACCAGCAGCCCACCCGAAGGGCGGGGGGCAGGGCAGCAGACCGGCGGCAGGAGTCGCAACCTCCTGGAACCCAGCGGCGTGCATGGAGGAGCGGACGAAGGCGCCGAAGGCCGTGCGGAGCCCGCGCAGGCGGCGGATCAGGCCAAAGCCCCAGCGAATGCCCACGTCCAGTGAATTGCTGCCGCCCGCCAGCCTCCTGCGGCCCCCCGCGCGTCCGCGCGGCAGAGAGGCCGGGGCAGCGCAATGCAGAGCTCCCGGGCCAGCCAGCCCAGGGAGCCCCGCTCTCACTCGTGAGGGGGCGCGCCAGCGGCCTTGCCGTGGCGCTTCGAGCCCCCCCCCTTTCCTCCCCCCTCCTCGGCCCTCGGTGCTGCGGCCGGCGCAAGCTTCCGCTCCGCGTCCTCGAGGGCCAGCGTGTCCTTGGTGTAGCCGATCGCTGCAGCGACCCACTCGGGCGAGGCCAAGCGGGACATGGGGCGGATCTGCCCGCGGGCCGGCGCCTGGCGGATCGAAGTCCAGGGCGGCTCGGGCAGGTGAGTCAGCAGCCAGGCTGACGTCCAGCGCCATTCCCTCAGGGCCGCCTGCTCCGACGCGCAGAGGAGGAGCGCCAGCTGGGCCTCGGCGGCGTGCCACGAGCCGCGCTCCATCAGGTCGAACACCTCCGCCATGCCGAACACCAGGAAGGCCGACGACCTCGCCTGCCCGAACGGGACGTTGCGGGCGAAGTAGTTCCGCGTGGAGTCGCTCATGCCCTCCTCGCTCGCAGCACCCGTCATGTTGAGCTGGCGATTCCGCCTGGCCAGGGCGGAGACGGCCTGGGGGCTGCTCTGGTCCCGGCGTCGGAACAGCTCCAGGGCGGCGGCGCCGCGCGCGCCGCCAAGTCGCATGCCAGAGCTCTCGCCAAGCCCCTCGTCGCGCCCGCCGTCCGCGAGGAGCGACAGCGCGTCGGGCTGGCGACCGCCGCTCTGAGCCAGGGCCCCCATCAGTGACGCCTGCCGGGCCAACAGGGCCATCCGCTGCTCTTCGCGGTCGCCGGCTCCTGTGGGAGCCACGGGGGGCTGGGGCTCTGCGGTCTGGCTCGCAGGAGGGACTGGGCCGCGTGGAGGCGAGGGCGGAGGGCCCTGCGTCGGAGCAAAGCCTGGGGGGCCCGCGGTCGCCTGGCCGGAGAGGGGCCGCTGCAGGAACGGGTTCGCCGCACCTCCCCGGCGAGGCGGAGGAGGTCCGGCGGCGGCAGCAGCGGCGCGCGCGGCGGGCAGGCCCTGAGGGGCTAGAACCCCGCCTCCGAGAGCCGCCGGCGGAGGACCGCCGAGGGGAGGAGGGCCGAGGGGTCCGAAGGGCGGGGCCATGCTGGCCGCCTGGGGCAGGCGCCAGTCTGAAGGGGCCGCCGCCTTCCGAGCTGGCCCTGCGCCGGCCTCCAAGGCTGCGATCCTCCCCAAGAACGCGTTCTGCCCGGCCAAGATCTGCTCCAGGACCTGCTGCTGCTGCTGCGGCGCCTTCCTGGCGGCGGCCTTCCGGGTCGGAGCCATCGGGGCGGCGGGCGGAGCAGCTGGCTGCGCGCGCAAGGCTGCCCGCTGCCGCTTGAGCTCCGCCACCTCCGCAGCCAGGCTCCTCAACTCTTCGACCGCACCAAGCTGCGACTGCTCCAACAGCTCGCTCGGCGGCGTCGTGGCGGCTGGAGGGAGCGGAGAGGCCTCCCCGGAGAACCACGCGCCGAACCCAGCCCCTGCGGCCACTGGCTGCAGCCCGGGCACCAGAGGGGGGCGGAGCCGCGGTCCGAAGGCGGACGGCGCCGGCCCCATCTCCTGAGGTGCGCCTGTCGCCTCGAGCGCGGGCTCGCCTGCGCCCTGCAGGGGGTCCAGAGTGGCCGGCATCTCGGCGGGGGCCGCGTTCACGGCAGCCACGGGGTCGGGCCACCAACCATCGTCGTGGAAGGCGTAAACCTCGCCCTCGGCGGGGGGCGCGGAGGCGAAGCGCCTCGCCAAGGCGCTCGGGGTCTCCATGATCTCGGCCGAAAGCAGCTGGCCGCCCAAGAGCGACCCGACGCGATCCCAGGCTGGCAGATGCATGGCCTCGTAGGCAGTGTCGAGCCGACCCGAGGGCACCACCGCCACGGTCGAGAGGGCGTCGGCCCGCACTCGCAACGCCGCCACAGTGATCGTAGTCCGAGTCGACGCTGTCCTTCAGAGTGAGGAACCCGAACTCCCCGGCGATCGCTCCAGCAGCAGGGGCGGGCAGCAAGGCCGCGGCCGCCACGTTCTGGGGCGTGGCATGCCCGAACTAGGCGCCAAGGTCCTCGACCTCCTCCTCGCCAGTGTCGAACGCGTTCTCCTCCTGAGCCATCCTCCCCAACGGTGGATGGGGAGGCGGCGCTGGGACGCCGTGGCGGTCAGCCTCGGCAAGGTAGCCCGCGATTGCCTCGTCCTCCGAGGCGAGGCGGCGCAGGCAGTTACGTACCCAAGTCCCGGGTCGCGGGGCCCGCGCCAGGGGCCACGCCGGCCGGCAAGGCGCCGGCCCCGCAAGGGATCAGGTGCACGTAGGACGCCGCAGCCGCCAGGAGCGAGGCGAGCATCCACTGGGAGGTGCGCGGGAGGGACGGGCGCGCGAGGGCGTCCGGTGAATGAGAGCTTGAAGCCAGAGCCCCCGCGCGTCGAGGAATCACCGCAATCATATATATATATATATATATATATATAATGATTTGCAAGCTGGAAGATACATAACTAGCGACATATCATCGTCCTACACACATGGTTTCGTATGGACACTGGTTTATTTGATTGGCGATCGGGAATCTCGAGCCATACAATAAGAACAATATTGCACACACGCATGATATGGTTTCATTATGTATGTGTGTATATGTATGTATGTATAGACATATACAAATGTATATATGTACACATTTTCTTACATGTGTAATGTTTTTGGCATTTGACAACCGGGAAATCACGATCACATAGCAACGCGCAGTTAAACGTGCGTTTACGCTAAAAGTTGAAACAACGTTTCCATTTACAGATATACGTACATACATACTGATTGGTACTTTGTAGATGTTTGTACATCTTCCACAGCTTGATGCCAGAAGCGAAGAGTGCAAACCTATTCCATGACTTGTATCTATATGTGCGCTCACGAATGCTGGCATAATTTGTCATATGGTTTGATATGTTGCACTCAGAAGTAGACCAACAACATACTTCTATGTGTGTATATATATATATATGTGTGTGTGTGTGCTGTTCGATCTTTCTCTTCTCGGGATGCCAGAATCTCCGCCCGCGCACGCGATTCGGGAGGGACTATCTGCTCTCCGAGGCAGTGCAATTCTATAGGCGAACATGAGCCTGCACTGCGCGGGCAGCTCGAGGCGGTAGAATGCGCCACCCTAGTCGACCCCCATCGACGGTCAGGGCGCCCTCGGGGCCGCCCAGCTCGAGCGCCGCGAAGGTGTCGCCCGTCGGAAGGGCGACGGGGAGAGGGCCAGCGAAGGCCGCGCTGCTGCGCCCATCGCCAAGAGCAGTTGGCCCCCTTTCTTCTCGGCGAAAAATGCGTGGACCCTCTCGCCGTCATCGAGCGAGTAATCGACGAACTTGCGAGAATGTAGATCACGCGCGAAGGCCCCCAATCTCGCGCGCGCCCCAGGCGAGGGTCGGAGCGGCGTGTCCTGACGGGGCATGACTCGAGTCTAGCTGGTTGCATGATCATCGACCTGGGATGGAAAAAACACAAGTGGCCATGTTGGAAAATCCTTAACAATTCTTCGTCGGCAAATTATTAATTTTGGGCGGCGCGCCCATCGCCGAGCGGGGGCGGGGCGGAACAGATAAGGGAACGGAAGAACGAAGGGCGCCGCGATGGGATTGCGAGGACTACCGCGTGGAATACGCGAAAACGAATGCCACGATGATGTCTAGAACGCTTCTTCGCTTTGGGGTCGAGACATGACCCCGCCGACGCGAGCTCTCGGGGCTTAAGACGCGAGCCCTCGCGGCCTGCGACGCCGCGCCTGGGGCCTGCCACGCGGGGCCCTGGGGCCAGTTCGCGACCACCTGTGGCCTGCGACTTGGATGCTCAGGGCCCTTCACGCGCATCCCTGGGGTGGGGGGGGGGGGGGCGATGCGAATTCCAAGCGCGCCGCGCGACTCCGACGGCCGAAATCGCCCGGGACCGAAGCCCGCGGCGCGAGTTCCTGGGCCCCGCGAAGCGCCCCCCCCCACACACACACACACACACACACACACACACACACACACACACACACACACACACACACACACACACACACACACACACACACACACCACACACACCACACACACACACACACCACGCACACACACACACACAGACACACACACACACACACACACCACACACACACAACACACACCCACACACACACCGCCAAAACACACCCACACAACACACACCACCCGCACGCCCACCCACCCCACCCCACCCCACCCCACCCCACCCCATCCCCACCCCAGGGCTTCCGGGGCCGTCGTGGCCGTCTTTCTCCAGCATGGAATCATCCCAGAGGTCGCTGCCCCAAATCGCCGTGCATTCGAGTTGGCTCAGGCTGGGGCTGACTCGGCTGAGCTAGGCGGGGATGGCCTAGACCGTAGACCATGGCAGGGTTACACGCAGCATGGGCCTGGTAAGACTTGACCGCGAGCCTTTGCATTGCGAGGGGGGGAGGGGGGGGGGGCTGTCAACAGCGCAACTGTCGCAACTTCTGCGAGCCCCCGAATGATCCAGCGGAGTTGTACGCCACGCGATCCAGACGAGATCTCGCGGCCCCCTGGATAATGAGAGCGGGCGGTAGTGGCGCGGGGGGGGGGGGGAGCGTGTGACGCAGGGGGGCCGCGGTGGTGGTGGTGAGGAGTGCGCGTGCGTGCGCGCGCGCGTGCGTGCATGCGTTGTGCGCGTGTGTGTGTGTGTGTGTGCGTGTGCGTGAGGGGCGCGCGTGCGCGCGCATGCGCGTACGTGTGTGCGCGCACGTGTTTGTGCGTGTATGTGCGAGCGTGCATGTGCCAGTGCACGTCCCTGATGTGTGTGTGTGTGTGCGTGTGCGCGCGTGTGTGTGCATGCGTGCTTGTGCGGGTGCGTGCACGCGTGCGCCTCTGCGTGGTGAGTGGGTGGGCGTGTGTGTGTGTGTGTGCGTGTGTGCGCGTGCGCGGTGGTGGCGGTGTGGTGATGGTGGTGGTGGTGCGCAGGTGTGTGTGTGTGTGTGTGTGTGTGTGCGTGACCGCGTGTGTCCGTGCGTGTGTGTGCATGCGCGTATTGTGGTGGTGTGCACGCGTCCCCTGCGCGTGTGTGTGTGTGCGTTTTGTGGAGCGGTTTGGCGCGGCGGCCGGTGGCGTGTGTGTGTGGGGGGGGGGGGGGGGGGGGGGGGTAGGGGGGGTGAGAAGAGGGATGGGGAGGGGGGGGCGGGTTGTGCGTGTGTGCGTGTGTGTGTGCGTGTGCGTGCGTGCGCGCGTGTGTGCGCGCGCGTGCGTGCGCGTGTGCGCGCGGCGCGTTTGCGCGTGTGCGTGCGTGGTGCGCGTGCGTGTGCGGGTGGGCGGTGGCGATGTGCATGCGTGGTCGCGGTGCTAAGTGCGGGTGTTGTTTGGGGGGATACGTAGTTTTATACACAGACGTACATGTGCATATACACGCGCACACACACATTTGTATGTATATAGTTGTATGTGCATGCAAGCATCCATGCATGTGAGTGTACGCATGTGTGGGTGTTTGTGTATGTGTGGTGCGTACGTACGCACTCGAAGTGGTGGCGGGGGGGGGCGGGCGGGGGCGCGCGTTTTGCGCGCGTGCGTGCGCGCGCGCGCGGCGGGGCGGTGGCGGAGCGGGGGGGGGGGGGGGGGGGGCGGCGCGGGGGGAGGGGGGGGGGGGGTGGCAGGGGGGGGGGGGGGGGGGGGGGGGGGGGGGGGGGGGGGGGGTGGGGTGGGGGGGGGGGGGCAATTGTCACCGCGCCATGTGTCATCTCGAAAGGGCCAGTCCATGTTATAACAGTCATTGCTATAGGATGGG